TCCCATGTACACCAGAGAGGAGTTGGCGAGACAGCCAGGCTCTTAAGAACGTGAAAACCTTCAACACACAGGAGCAGAAACCTTCCTAACACAGAAGTCACATCTGGAGCTGCCCTGTGGACTAGAACCTTCTTTACACGGAGTCTACCCACCCTGGGGAAGCCATGTGCTCCTCATTTCTTTTTGTTCAAAAAAAAAAAAAAACCCACCACAGATTTGGGATGAATCATAGTCAGCGGAATTGGCAAGGATCTTCCTTGGTTTATTCAACAGGTATTTAGGATGGTGCCCTACGAAATGTCAGTGCTTTGTGAACCACACGCGCTTGGCCCTGCTCTTGTAGGACTTTCATTCTGATCACACCACTCCCCTGCCATGCTAACAGGCAGCCAGAAAGGCCTATGAAGACTTAAAAGGAGGGGTTGGTAATAGCTGGGCCTGGTGGTTGTAATCCCAAATACCTAAGAGGAAGTGATCTGGAAGATCAGGGTTCCAGGCTAGCCCATGAGACCCCATCTCAATGGAAAGAAGCTGGACATGTGGTGAGACTCACCCGTCATCCCAGCAACAGTAGAAAGTGTAAATAGGAGAATCACAGTCCAGGTCCAGGGAAAAGGCAAGAGAATCAATGCAAAAGGAGCCTGGGGCATGGCTTGGAAGTAAATGACTGCCTAGTGAGCACAGAGCCCAGTGCCACTAAAACCAAGTAGGGGAGGGGGTTCAGGGGACACAGGAGGCTCCTGGCCTGCCTTCTACTCACAGCTCCCCAGGGGGTGTGTGAGACCCTCCCCCTTGGAAGAAATTGGCATCAGTATCCCAGAGAAGCTACAAAATGATATAAGATGGGAAATAAAATGGGCAGTGTTTGGGTAGAGTAGCGCTGTGTGTTTCTGCAGCATTGTTAAGAACTACACTTAGCTTCTCTCCTTTGACCATCAGAATCTCCCTCATCTTCTTAAGGAAAATGAGGCTCAGAAATGGGGTGCCTGGTCAGAGACTCACCCAAGAACTCACTAAGCAGCTTACACCGCGGTGAATGAATGACGCGTTTGAGCAAGGCCAGCTGATTTGAACATGTGTATGTGTGCAGAGTGTGTGCAAGTGTATGTGATGTGTAGTGCGTGCATGTGTGCACAGAATGTGAGTGTATGCAGTGTGAGTGTGTATTGCAATCCTCTGCCAAGATCCTGCACAGTTGCTCCTGGACAGAATGCATCGTGTTGCACGGGTCAGAGTCTAGCATCTGGGCTGTTTCTTCATAGACTGTGCATGGTTTTCCTGTCTTGCTCCGTGGTCATGACACAATGACTGATGCGTGGCCCCGCCCTCCACACAAGGACCTTTCCCTGTGGGGCTGACATCCGGAGGATGTCAGGAAAGAGCTCTACTTGCTTTTCCCTGCTCTTGATGACAAAATGACCTTTTAGCTGCATGACATAGAACGAATGCCTTGGACGTTGGTTGGTGGCCGCAGCACATAGAGGCTGTGGGGTGTGAAAGCATTCATATGTGGAGCAGCAGGAATTTGGGGTTTGTCCCAATGCCACAGTCTCTGCCTGGGGCTGGCAGTGGGGGGATGGGGAGGGGAGAGAGTGGTTATACTCTACAGACCTCCTTCCCAGCATATGACGTCACCCAGAGTGACCCCCCCCTCTGCTGTAGAAGGGAAGATGGTAAAGGAGCGCATGTAGCTCTGGGAGGAAGCCACACGGGAAGGAAGGGCCCTGTTGTAGCATCAGATTTTCTTATACTAAATAGTTGGCAACAGAACAGAGGAAGCGAATGAATGAAATGTGGCTCCCACTGGTGTCCTGCCCCTCCCCCCCTTGCAGCCTTACAGCTTTTCATCTGTCTTGGGCAGAGGACAGACCATGGGAAGTGCTTGTCACGCGTGGACACCACCCCACGCCCACCTTGCTTCCCTCTCCCCCACTCAGTCCAAACCACTCTCATTAAAAGCAGTCAGTTACGGCCTTTATGCTAAAGCCCTTTCTTACCTGTACTGCCAGATGGCGCGCCCCAGCTAATGTGTGTCCATCCCAGATAACAGTGGTGTTCCCACCCCTCGGGTGTCCGTTGGGCCCAGTCCCCTGGTGGGGAGGGGTGGCACTGAGTCACCATCAAGTTGCTGGGGCGCCCTTTAGAGGGGAAAGCTGTGTGGTACAGTCATGGCGTTCCAGAAAGGGAGGGGGGGAGGGAGAGGAAGGGGAGGGCAGAGGAGGGGGCAGGAGCTAGTGAAGATGATTGACAAGCTGGTCTGGAGAGAAGAGGGGCACTGGGAGTGGAAGGTCGCTCTTCTTTTTCTTGTTTTAAAGGGGCTCTCATGGCCTTGGAGGCCCGGCCGCCCTCAGTCCATGACATGACTTAACTCAGTGCCATGTTGGAATTGGTAGGATAAATGGTGCTGAGGACTTGGGGGTGAACACATGAGGCAAGTTTGGGGGTGCTCTGTTGCTATCCGCCAAGCTGTCTCCCTCCTGCCCACGCCGTTCCCACGCCAGGTCCCCTCCTGCAGCTAGCTTGAAGCTCAGAGTGTTAGGTTTTATTGCTTTTGTTGAAGTCATTCCTTTTCACGTGAGTTAGCCTCCGGCTCACCTGAACAGTTGGTTTGAAGGTAGTAGTGAGGCTACTTATGGCTTTATTCTGGAAAGTTCTTTTCTCATCACCAGCTGAATTAGCACATCAACATTTGCATATGGGCACTGACTTACATACCAGCCCATTGAACCCAGAAAGAACAAGTTCCTTGCTTTCTGGTAACAGATACTGGACAAGTTGGTTTCTTTGTGCCTCAGTTTCCCTTGCTATGAAATGAGGTTGCTCTGAGCTACACATGAATTAAAATGCTTTATAAGGTGCTTAGCATACTGGAACATGAAAAAGTCAGTACTTTTTTTTTTTTTGGAGTGGTGGGATGGTACTTTCTTTTCCTTTTTTTTTTTTTTTTTTTGTCGCTTGTGTTGGGCACTGTCCCTGTACTCTTCAGCTCAAGGCAAGAGCTCTACCGCTTGAGCCACAGCACCACTTCCGATTTTCTAGTGGTTTATTGGAGATAAGAGTCTCACGGACTTTCCTGTCTAGGCTGACTTTAACCATGATCCTCAGATCTCAGCCTCCTGAGTAGCTAGGATTACAGGCATGAGCCACCGGCGCCCAACAGTACTATTTTTTTTTAATTTTATTTTATTTGTGAACATGCTGTACAGAGGAGTTACAATTACATGGGCAGGATAATGCGTACATTTCTTACCAAGCATTGCAGCCTCCTCCTTTGTTTACCCTTCACATCCCTTCCCAGCCTCCCCCCTCCCCCCAATCCCAATCCTTCTCCTTGCCCCTCCTTCCCCCCGCCCCGCACCGATGTTGTAAAGCTCATTTTGGACATGACAACTTGTACTGGTACTATTTTTTTTTATTAGAATGAATTAGTTGTAGTGGGGCTCGCAGACATTTCTGTACATGCACACCCCATATCCCCAGCAAACACAGCCCCTCCTTCGTGCTCCCTCACCCCTTCTTAAAACAATGGTAGCAGATTTCATTGTTCTGCTCTCATGCGTGCAACTAAACCTCTTTGACACTACTTGCCCTCACCCACCCCCTTCATCTGCCCCCACTTCCCTCACACAGCCTGTCTCATTGTCCTTTCATTCGTGATTAACTATCAGATTGCGTATTTTATACTTCAATCACAATAACCCTCTCCATTGCTCTTTGGCAGTACTGGAATTTTAACTTAAGGCCTCAAAATTGTTAGGCAGACTCTACCTCAGCCCCTTTTTTGCACTATTTTGTTGGTTTTAGGCCAGTCCCGGAGCTTGAACTCATAGCTTGGGTGCTATCCCTGAGCTTTTGTGCTCAAGGCTAGCACTCTGCCTCTTGAGTTACAATTCTACTTCTAGCTTTGTTTGGTGGTTTAGTGTAGATAAGAGTCTCATAGATGTTCCTGTCTAGGCTGGCTTCAACCATGATCCTCAGATTTCAGTCTCCTAAATAGCTAGGATGACAGGTGTGAGCCACCATAGCCTGGCTGCAGTGGTTATTTTTGAGAGAGTCTTGCTTACTTCTCCAGACATGCACCTGCACTGCAATATGCCTGTTTTAGGCTGCTTGTATAGCTGGGATAACAGGCCTATGCCACCACACCCAGCTTCTTCTGTAGAGATGGCATCTCACAAACTTTTCTGTCAAGGCTGGCTTTGAACCCTGATGCTCCACACCTCAGCCTTCTATGTAGCTGGGACCATAGGCGTGTGCCACTGCACTCCGCTAGTGGTTGGGTAGGGTTCTTGCGTGTATGCCTGGGCTGGCCTGGAACCATGATTGCTCCCTAGCTCAGCTTCTTGAGTTGTCAGAATTACAGGCGTGAGCCATAGCGCCCAGCCTGAAGCATTCAGTAAATATTCACTACTACTGTTCTTTTTCTCTTTGCTGTTCAAACCTTGGCTCATCACCATCCGCTAAAGCAATTTCCTGTAGGAAACAGGAATCTACACCCTACAGCACAACCAACTTTGCCATCTACCACCCCACCGCAGGTCTGGCAGTGCCTGATGCACCCTATCCCCCTGAATCTGGCCAGCCACGCTGCCCTGTGTCATCTCCCTTCTGGGAATGGATCTCCCATTCACCCTCACTTCTGTTTTCTCCTTCTCAAGGGCTTTCCAGACAGTTCTGCAGGCTAAAGTCTCTTGGGAGCTAAGTCTGCTCCCTACAGGTGGCCCCTGGGGCCCATCTATGGGACAGAGTCTGAGCCAGTGACCTCAAGTGACCTTCGTGCTGATCTCATGATACCCAAATCATCCAAGTGTGGATGGAACACAGAATGTCAGACTCAACGAAAGGGATTAGAAATTGTTTCTGCACTGTGCGGCAGGTTGTGGGGGAGGAGCGGAAGGGGGTCATTTCCAGGACTCCTTCTGATGGGTTATTGGTGAGGACATCATGGCTGGTGTTTGGCCCTTTGTCCTTGCTAATGCTTTGTGTTTCTCCCTTGGCAGGGAAGGCCGCTCTAACGCCCACATCAGAGGAGATCACCAAAGAATCGGGGACATCATGCTGAAGAATATCCAGGGTATGAAGGTGAGCTGCTCCTAGGGTAGATAAGGGCTCAGGTAGATAAGGGCTTGGGAGCCCTTTCTTGTCTGCATACATCCCCTGGCTTCCTGCACCTGACAGGACACAGTGGAGGTGAACGCTGCTGTGGGCTCTTCTTCCAGCCTGTCCACAGAACGTTAGGGTAGGCAAACCCTAGTTGTTTGGCTCATACATAAAACACATGGGTTTAATCTTTTCTGGAACTGGGCTTTGAACTCAAGACCTCCTGCTTCTTAGAAAGGCATTCTACCACTGAGCCATGCCTCCAGCCCCTTCTTGTACAGGTTATTTTTGAGATAAGTTCTCATTTCCTGCCCCAGACCTTGCCTGGACCAAGATGTGCTGACTTTAGGCTTCATCATAGATAGGATGACAGGCCTACCACTGCACCCAGCTATGGACTGAAAGGGGGTCTCCTGGACTTTCCTGCCCTGGCTAGCCTTGAAACCTCCCACCCCTAGCCTCCCAAGTAACTAGGTAACAAACACAAGCCAATGGTACCTGTTATTTTTTTTTTATAAGTAGATTTTGTAAGTGATTTTTTTTTTTTGTCAGTAGTGGGGCTTGAACTCTGGGCTTGGGTGCTGTCCCTGTGCTCTTCAGCTCAAGGCGAGCACTCTACCACTTAAGCCACACCTCCATTTCTGGTTTTCTAGTGGTTTATTGGAGATAAGAAGTTCACAGACTTTCCTGCCCAGGCTGGATTTGAATCATGATCCTCAGATTTCAGCCTGCTGAGTAGCTAGGATTACAGGCGTGAGCCATCGGCAATTTTTTTGTTTGTAAATGATGCAGACAAAACATGTTTGAACCAGGTGCACACCTGCCTGTAATCCTGGCTATCTGGAAGGCTGTGATTCAGGAGATCACTGTTGGAAACCAGCCTGGACAGAAAAATCGGACTCCATCTCCAAATAATCATCAAAAAAAGCCAGGCTGGAGGCATGACTCAAGTGGTAGATCACCAACAAAGCAAGTGTGAGATGCTGAGTTCAAACTGACAAAAAAAAACAAAACAGAAAAGATTTTGGTTGAGTGCACATTTCATTTTCAGTCCATCATTTTGGTTTCTTTCATATAATATATAGCATAATAAATAGGTGAGTATTATATATAAGCAGTTTTAAGTTTATAGAAAACTTGAGCATTAAATACAGTTTCCACCCCCTCCTTCCCTCAACACAGGGTCCCATTCTTACTAACATTTTGCTGTTGAAACTGATAAACCCATACTGATACATTCTCATGAGGCAAGGTCAATACTTGGCCTCCAGCCTCACTCATTCTGAGTGTTGACAAAGGTATAACGACAAGAGAGTGTGCAGAAGGCTTTCCCTACCTTAAACATCCCCTGTGCTTCGTCTGTACACTCTCCACCCCTCCCTCCCCTGCCAATCTTCCACCAGGCCTGGAGTCTCACCTTTTCCAGAATGTATTATGGTTGGATCACACAGGATGTGGCCTTTCCCCTCTGGCCCTCTCTTCTTTGACATCATTGGATCCTGGTGTGTTTTTCCATTGAAATAATGGAAGAGATGCCATCAAAACACCTCCTTCTCCTAAGACACCTCTTCAGAGGCTGCACACTTCTTCTCAGCCTGTTTCTGGTTTTGTTTTTTCACCTTGTTTCGCTTATCTGGGATCACAGCCTCCTAGTAGAGGGTCAAGGAGGCTCAGATGGGGGAACTGTCAGACAAGGTTCCCCCATCCTGTGGGGACAGTCTCAGTGTCCTGCTGTTGCCCAGCTTTCCTTCAATGCCTTCTCAGACCCGTTTAGCAATATACCCCGGGCTTTCCCACCTACCCTTTATCAACCAGCACAGAGCCCTCCTGAAAACACACCAGCTCCTGCTTACTGCACAGCGAGCACTTTTCCCCAGCCGGGCAGGAGAGCGGGCATTTGGGACACCAAGGTGTCTAAGGCCCTGCAAGCATTTCGGCACCATGCCACCGCCATGAGTGTTTATAGCACTAAGCAGTGCACAAGCAAAATCAAAATAGAAGAGAGGAGGAGCCGGTGTGAGAAATGACTTAGGTCATGCTAGTTGTTGGCTTTTTCATAAAGCATGGGGGGCAGCAGAAGTTCTGGAGATTAGCACTCTTTTCCAGGACTCTAGGGCTGATATCCAGCTGCTGTGTCTTTCCTGCCCCACCCACCACATCTGGTTGCACACTTACCTGCATTTACACATGTCCTGCAGGAACCAGGAACTGGGAGAGTGTGTTCAGTTGGCACTGACGTGTTGTCTTCTGGGAGCTGGGGCTGCAGGAGGACTCAGGGAGCTTGGCCCTGGGCATTGGCCCCCCCCTCTGTAAATCAAGGAGCCCCAAAATGTAGTCTCTAAATGTGATACCCACCTGCCAACCACCTAGATCCCAGAAACAGCCTAGACACCTGAAAAGCCATGCCAAGGAAAGTGCTGCCCTGTCCTCCCGCCTTCGCTAGCATCTCTGCTCATTAGCACACGCAGGCAAGATTGACTAGGCATCTACCGCATATGCCTGGCAGTATGGATACATCCATGTTTGCAAATCCAGACTCCATGTATATAACCCCCACACATACATGTGCGCATGTGTGCACATACTGAAGGCACACGTGACCGGAGTAGACTGTACCAATGCTCATATCCCAGGGTTGGTGCTCGTTAGCTGTGGAGGATGGCACCGTTGAGGGGGTGCAGAGGAGAGGTTCCTGGTGTCTCCTTATACATTTCTTTGCAGCCTGCTGTGGATCTATGTTTCAAAATAAAATCTAGGCCGGGCACTGGTGGCTCACTCCTGTAGTCCTAGCTGCTCAAGAGGTTGAGATCTGAGGATTGGGTTCAAAGCCAGCTCAGGCAGGAAAGTCTGTGAAGACTCTCTATCCCCAATGAATCTCCAAAAAACAGGAAATAGGGCTGTGCCTCAAGTGGTAAAGTGCTAGCCTTGAACAACAACAACAACAAAGCTCAGGGATAGTGGCCATATGCTGAATTCAAGCCTAGGACCTGCATAAAAATTAATTGTGAACAAAATGTGAAAACTCGCAGCGTGGGCACACGCTGGCAGCGGCAGGAGGGCAAGGGGAAGGCCCTGGAATATAGACCCTAGGGGGAAGCTAAGCAGGGGGCATGTACAGGAACCTGACAGGGACGTGTGCAGGTTGCTCAGGGAGTGTGTTGGGTGGGCACTGAGGCTGGCAGGACCGAGGGAACAGGTCTTCAGGTTTGACAGCCGTTCAGCATGTTCGCAGCAGCGGCCTACTGAACGCAGGGAGTGCGCTGAACGCCGGGCCGCACGGGTCCGTGAGCTCGGGAATGAAACAGCACAGTGATGTTTCTAGATCTTGTGTGTAGGACTTGGCAAAGGGTTCAGAGAAAGAATCCAGAATGTTCCCTGGGAATAGTGTGGTAGGTCATTGCGGGAGGAGGCCTGGCCGTGCTCTGGCTGTGGACGGGGCGTGGCCGTGCCCACAGCTGGATGAGAGCTCCAGAGGTGTCAGCATTCCCTGGAGGGCGGTGCAGAGTAGGACTTGGAGCTGGCGGCCACTGCCCTGTCCTGGGGAGCCCTCCACCCCTGCACCCCCCCCATCCAGCCCAAAGCATCTAGCCCCCAACCCCCCCCCATCTTCCCTCTTCCTGGGTGACAGAATTGTTACCCCCTTTCTGTCTCCCGCCATCCCTGTAGAGTAGGGTCAGTGCCTACACCCCAGTTACCAGTAGGTGGCCTTGAACTAATAATCCTCCTGCCTCAGCCTCCCAAGGGTTGGGACTACATGTGTGTGCCAACAGCCCCAAATGTATTTTTAAAATAAACAAAACTCTTTTTGAGGCTTTTTTTTTGGAACAGTGCTGGTCTATTTGTCATCTTATAATGACATAGGATGTCTTCAGGAGTTCCTTTTCACATATTAGCCCTGGATTTTTGTCAGTCTCATTTTGCAAAGGTCATTTATGCCTCTAGTATACATTCCACAGCTCTCCTGTCTCCTAATGGATGTGTAGTTGAGACTGCTCAGTATCTCACTGGACTTCTTATTCCCAATTTCATTTAAATAATGTATGGAGGGGGCTGAGAAGGTAGCTCATTAGTAGACTGCTTGCCTTGCATGCCTGAGGTCCTGGGTTCGATTCCTCAGCACCACATAAGCAGAAAAAGCAGGAATCGGTGCTGTGGCTCAAGTGGTAGAGCGCTAGCCTTAAAGAGCTGAGGGACAGCGCCCAGGCCTAGAGTTTCAGGCCCCACAACCAATAATGATAATAATAATAATAATGTATGGAGAAGCAGGAACTTTAAGGAAATTATAGTGTGATGCAGTGAGAGCGAAGGTGACCCTCATCCACATCCTGTCATCTGAGTGGAGCCCCTGATCCACCTCCTCTCACGCCCCCGACCCCCAGCACCTGTCGGCTCACCTGTGGAAGCACAGCGAGGCGTTGGAGGTGCTGGAGACGTCAATCAAGAGCTCGCGGCGGCTGGAGCACTTCTGCCGAGACTTTGAGATGCAGAAGGTGTGCTACCTGCCGCTCAACACCTTCCTCCTGCGCCCGCTGCACCGGCTCATGCACTACAAGCAGGTGCTGGAGCGGCTGTGCAAGCACCACCCGCCCAGCCATGCCGACTTCAGGGACTGCCGGGGTGAGTTGGGGGAGGGGGGTGGCATGCACAGCCCGGGGCGGGGGGGGGGAGGGGGGAAGGGAAGTGGTGCACACTTCCTGGGACATCTGCTCCTCTGACCCTCTTTCTTTCTTTCTTTCTTTCTTTCTTTCTTTCTTTCTTTCTTTCTTTCTTTCTTTCTTTCTTTCTTTCTCCGTGGTGGGGCTTGAACTCTGGGCCCAGTCACTGTCCCTGAGCTGACACTCTACCACTTGAGCCACAGTGCTACTTCGATTTTCTGGTGGTTTATTGGAGATAAGAGTCTCACAGCCCAGGCTGGCTTTAACCATGATCCTCAGATCTCAGCCTCCTGAGTAGCTAGGATGACAGCCACTGGCGCCTGGCTAATGATCCACGTTTTCATAATCCACTATTATGTGGCATCCTGGGCATTACCATTCCTTATTCCATGTTGCATGCTTCCTCTCCTTGGAGAGAACCCCAAAGAAGCTCTAGTAAGCCAGGCAGGGCTTCCTCAAACTTAAGCCTCCTTGGTCTTCATGGATGAAATTGGTACCCTTCCTTGGGCTGGGCCCTGATTGTCTCCCTCATTACCTCCTGGGCATTTATAATGTGCTGGCCGCCATAGTCAGCAGCCCACCTAAATTAACTCAGAATCTTCACTCCTGGCCAGAGGCAGGGAAGTCTAGTTGACATGCGGGACTTCTGAGACCAGAGAGGCCAAACAGCCTGCACAGAGCTGCACATCTGCGGCGTAATCCATGTTTTTGACCACCCTGGCCTGCTGTCTCCAAACCAGATGGCACTGTTGGAACTAAAGATGGAGCCAGCTGGGGGTGGGCCCCAGAGTGGAGATGCAGCACGCTGTGATAAGAAGCCAGAGAGAGGGCAAGAAGGGCAAACTCAGCCCTTCCACGCGCGGCATGAGGGAGGTTTGGGGGAAAGCAAAGAGAAGCCTAAGTGCATCAGCTGGAGCACTTGGTGTTTACAGCTAGCAGTTTTTAGGGTCGCGTTTAGCAGTGCCTGGTGGGCTGGGGGCGGGCGGGAAAGCGCCCAGGCTTCGCTCACCTGCGCCGCCTGCCTCCCGCAGCCGCGCTGGCAGAGATCACGGAGATGGTAGCCCAGCTGCACAGTACCATGATCAAGATGGAGAATTTCCAGAAACTGCACGAGCTCAAGAAAGACTTGATTGGCATCGACAATCTTGTGATTCCAGGAAGGGTAAGCGGAAGGCGTTGGAGGAAAAGCCAGAGTGGAGACGTTTCAGGGACTGAAGTCGCCACCTTCCAACTCTGACCACATCCGAGCTAAAACCTCCCCCCTGGTGCCGCCTGGGACCTGGAGGCCGCCAGGCACACGCGTGACACAGGCCACGGCCCGCAGCGAGGAGCTGCAAAGCCCTGCTGTTCTCCAGGGCAGTGGGTTGATTCGTTGGCTTTTCTTCTACCACATTTCAGGAATGACTCGAGAGCTTATTTATTGATTACTTTATTAATTATTTATTATGTGCTTGTGGAACAATGGTTTGAATTTAGGCTTTATTACCTGAGTCACGCCTGCAACCCTGTTTTTTTTATTTTTTTAAATTTAGGTAAATAGAAGATTAAACAGGGGTGAGAGGAGCCAGCATGCTGTACACACCTGTAATCCCAGCTCTTGGGAGGCTGAGGCAGGATTGATAGTCTGAGGCCAACGTGGACTAGCCACATAGTGAGATTAGAAAGACAGGAAGGAAAGGAGGGAGGGAAAGTGGGAAGGCGGGGAAGAAAGAAAGGAGGGAAGGAAGGAAAGAAGAAAGGACAAAAGAAAAAGAAAGGAGGAAAGGGAAGGAAAGGAAGAGAAAGAAAGAAAAAGGAAGGCAGGCTGGGCACCAGTGGCTCACACCTGTAATCCTAGCCACTCAAGAGGCTGAGATCTGAGGATTGTAGTTCAAAGCCAGCAAGACTCTTATCTCCAGTTAATCACAGAATAAGCCAGAAGTGGCGCTGTGGCTCAAGTGGTACAGCGCTAGGCTTGAATGAAAGGAGCTCAGGGGCAGC